TTCTTAGTATTATATAATATCTGTTCGGATCCTTTACGAAATATATATTGATCGAACCCTGTGACTATTTTTCAGATTCATCAACCCTGCGCAGAACATTGGAGTTGCGTTGACGGCGTTAGGCGAGGGTTGGCACAACTACCACCACGTGTTCCCGTGGGATTACAAGACCGCCGAACTGGGAAACTACAAATACAACATCACAACTGCTTTCATCGATATGTGCGCGAAACTCGGCCTCGCGTACGACATGAAATACGTGCCGAAAGACGTTGTTAAGAAGCGAGTGGAGAGAACCGGCGACGGTAGCCACGAACTGTGGGGTTGGGGTGACAAGGACCAGACTCAGGAGCAGATAGACCAGACGGTCGTGATCAACGGCAAAAAGGATTGAAGACGCGTGCCGGGCTGGATTGTTCGTGCGTTTCGGTTCAGTCGAAGAAACGACCAACGTCCCACCGTCTATTCTTTGTACAGTGTTTCTTAGGGTACGGGCCCTACCGTGATAACCAATTATTAATAGTTCGAGTCATCATTTAATATCCCTTATCCCCTTCCTTTTTGGTCGCAGGTTATCGTTTCGGTTATATTCGAGTTCTATCAGAACTATTCTAGTATGTTCCTTGAAAAATATTTATATGATACATGTATATGTATATATGGTGTACGATACGCACTATGGTCCGTATTTGACAATGGAAATCTTTAATCAGCATCGTTTCCAACGAATGTTTATTACAAGCTGTAGCCGATGTCACACGAATTCGTGCGCGGTCCATCCAGAAATTGAAAACCGAATCTCTTTCGACCGTAAAAGGTCCACGGGACAAGTAAACACTTGACAAATAATGGCTCTGATGCAATTTAAGCGTGAACTCCCGTGCGACGTCGGGTTCAGTACAAGTGAAGAACGCAGTGTTATATACGGTGGTATGAATATTTCGTGCGGAATAAGAACTTTTTTATTACTCTCGTGGGAGAATGTAGCCGAATACGATTGATTCGTTAAGGTCATTTGGCTGGTTCTAAATGTCCACGTACACAGTGATCCCGAAGGAGAAGAAGATCGGACGTCGTGGCCAGTAAATTTGTTATTGAACGAACCGATGACGTTACTCCGAGGCAGCCGATAGTCTCCGAAGCTTGTCCAAAACTCGCTAGACTTCCGCGCAGTAATGAATAATTTAATCCCGTTCTCTCTTATTCGCGCGAATCAAAATATCTTTGAGTCTCAATCGAGTCACCTAGGAATATGTTTCAATTGCTAAATACCAAAAGACTAAACACATTCCGTGAGTCAGCAAACACTTATATTTTCATACCCTTGCAATCGGGCCGGGTTGAAAATATTCCAATCGGCAAAATTCACTTACAATTCTATTTTGCTATATATAATCGTTTTCGTTTTTTGCCGTTACGTATTAATTTGCGTTACTTATGTAGTTTTCATCGTTTCACCTACCATTGAAGATATTAATCCATACTAATATTAATCTCTTTATCATTCACACGTGCTTCATCTTTACTCATCTATATCGATCATCGAAGTAAGGGGACGTATTTTCTTGCCCCTCTTGTCTCGTCTTATCATTCCTAGAAAGCGGAAGCTAGCGAAGAACGCGAAACAGGCGGGGTTACTGCTGTTTCTTCTTCAATCCTCTATCCTTCCTTTACCAGATTCTCGAAATACATTACAATATTCTCGTTAATCGTTTGTTATGTAATGGGATGCCGAAGGTTTCTTTTCTAACGATGTCCAATTTGTTTTTGGAATTAATTATGATTTCTAGAGGAAACGAGTGAAGGAAAAAATCTGTAATTAATAGTATACGATTATCGCAGTAAAAATAAAGCTAACAAGTGGTACCTGACAGTTTGACGTGTTTAAGGGTTGAAATCAAAATTGAAGTACCTTTGCTAAACTTTCCTCGCAAGTATGGTAAAGAAACCAATGCTAAAGATATTTGCTGTGGCAAAAGAGGATTTGAATAATTAATTTAAAAAATGAAACGAATATATCGGAGATTATACGTTATCTTTAAGAGGAAGATATATATGTTGTATTTAAGGGAAAAATACACTGTACGATTTAAGCTTGTACATTTCTACAATTATTCGATTATTTGATTGTAAAGAAATATTGGGAGAAATAAAGAAAATGTCAAGGGACGATGGTTTTCTACACAGAGGGGAGGAAATTAAAATTATTTTCTCTAATAGCTAGATACAAATTATACATGCTAACGTGTTATATGTATATCAGTATGCAGTTTGATCGATTTCTGTGTACGTCATGGGACGAGAATTGTAGATGGGAAAGTTTCGTTTATTTATTTTTCATTAACTATCAACTGAAGCATTGTATAATCAAAAGTTTGGGTTTAATAAAGATGCAGTGTAGAACGAACATAATCAACTGTATTCTTATTGAGATCTTTACAAAATCTTGTCTTTCAATTGTAACAAATATAATTTATATTTGTAATAAAGATTTATATTAATTCGAAAGGTTGCTTTTTGTTTGTGAGAAACACGAAATATAACACAGAGCCTCAGAAGGAGACGTTAGAAAAATATTAGATTACCCGGAAGGTTCGGTGGGTGGATTAGGTCAGGTCTGAGTACATCTGAAAAATTCAAAAGAAATTTCAGGCATTTCTACAAAATTATTATGTGTGATTATGTTTATATTTAATGAACCAAGTCTTACAAAGTGAAGCAAAAATTGCAGTTACTACGTTTTGGATTTTAAGCAATTATGTTCTGAATAAAATAAGGATCAGATCGCCCTGCAATGTACCATACATTGAAACAAATTTTGTCTTCTCTAAGAATTGCGTACAATCGAATGGATATTTTTCACTATTATTACGGATAGAGTCTTCAAATTGGATAAAAGATGGAGAGAAAGAACGTAGAACAATGATTGAATTTCTTCATATTTCCATAAAAATCGGTATGAACTTTCCGACTATCATGCTCTAGTAATGGGATAACGATGATGACGATTGAGAAAAGAAAAGAAGATTGAGCCAAGGTTTAATGACGCGGTATTATCCTGGTCTTCTTCGCGTTGTACTTGGACAATTCTTCGAGCTCATTGAGACCATTTTCAAGGGTCAACTTCTTTTTCGCCATTTGGTGAAGCATATCTCTGATATCCTCGGTCTCAGACGTACGCAAGTAATCCACCATGCCGAGCTCGTTCCACATTTTAATGAAGAACGTGGCTACGCCGCTGTCGTAAGTACCGTACTCGCCGCATTTCCAGTCCCACGGGATCATGTAATGGTACGCCGGCCAAAACGAATGAGTAATGAAAAACAAACTGATGCTGTCTGGTGGTATCCTGAAATTACGAGCAGAATTAAAGAATTCTACATTTTACATTGAACAATTTTATAAAATTAAACGATTCTACATTAAACAATTAAACAAACGAAAGAAAAGAGGCGACCGATTTGAAGTACATTTTTATTTAGATAAATAACAAAATATTTTTGTAATATTCACTACAGTTTGAGAAGCTGGAGTTTCCATAGCAAAAACGAGTCCGGAAGCAGAAACGTTCTATCACCGTTTTAAAAAAGTAGCAATTTTTGTAAAAATGCATGATTTTAAAATCGACAGGTATAGAAGGGTTCCCAAACCAATTTTTGTACTCATACTTTTTTAATAGTCGTAAATCATAGTTGAAGTTTGAAGAAACTGCAGACGCGAGTATTTTACTATTTTTTTAAAAAAAGTTCAGGTGGAATGAATTCCTTGACCATCGATGACGACAGTGCCGTGAGCACTAGGCATCTTGACGAAAAGTTTAAATAGCAAACTGAGAGTATCTGAAATTAGCATTAACTTTTTCCCTTCAAGGCTCCAGATGAGTCGCGAGCTGGCCACGAGCCAAGATATATTCGTCGTGATCGCGAATCGTAGCAAGCCGGTGATTACTATAGCTCCGGACAGCGATTCGTCCCAGTACTCCAAGGGCGCGTTCACTGGTAGCAGTATACCGAATATTCCGAACAGCAGCCAGTAGAACCTTCGACATTAAATTGGCACTCTTTTCACAAACTGTTTCCAGTGCATATGAACGTGAGAAAATACACGGATCTTACTTCTTCTGGAACCAGACGTAGCCGTCTTGTTCGACGTCTCGCATATCTATAAGACGTATCATTTCATCGTAATCCATGTGCCAACTCAGCACATTGGCCATGAAGTGACTGTACAAAAATCCTTTTTTGTGATTGAAAGGATCCTTGTCTGTCCCATAGTATTTGTGATGGAGCCTGTGGTAGAGTACCCAGTCGTATATCGGTCCCTGTAAACGATGCATAATGATATTAATAAAAAAAAGGATTAAAATCGTACCAGGACTGCATATTTCTTAATTAACGCTTAAATTTCTATAAATCTCTATCGATAATCAGAAAATTCTTTAATTACGAATTAAAATAAAAATAAATCCGAATGACAAAATCTAAAAGAATGTATGAATTAATAACAGGAGTGAACCAGAGGATAGTAGATGGTGGGACAAAATATACAGAGAAGAAAGGGAAGCTATTAAGAGACGAGAAACAAGTTTATTATCATGTTCCATCCTTTTCAAGGCCGAAAGATATGAAATAAAAGATTAATACTGCTCATTCATCTGCAACCCTAAATTGCAGTGAAGTTAATGGGCGATGTTCCAGATTCTCGACCCACGTGAGATACGTACCACTCCTGCGATGGTGTGGCACAGCATTAGGAACAACCTGAGGGGCCACGCAGCCTCGAATGCCCTGTGGGTCCAAAACCTATGAGCGCCTACTGTCACCCCGAGATACGCCAGAATTGTTAACAGTAGAGCTATAATATTAATTAGTAAAAGAACATGAATATGTATTATAAAAAAAGAGGAATTCTTGTATAAGTAGATTCTAGGCCAAATTATATACAGTGTATATTTATACTAAATTATGAACTGTTACGCATTTAAGGGATTTAAATTCAAAAGAATGTATCATATTGATATGCAAAAATATACGAAATATCTTGCTACTCATTTGTGGTATGTAAATCATTTTCGTCGAAGGCCAATGTCTTTTCGCTTATTGTAGCCATATTATTTCAAATTCTCAGGGGTATAGTAAATGCCCTAATTTCTGTTTACGTCATAATTTTTATTCACTTATCTTTAACCCATTTGCATTATTAGCGTATATATGCGCTCAATTTTGCGAAAGTTCTGCAAGGGACCGGGCCGAGGTACGTTCCCTCACCACAATAGTACCAAACATTTTGCCCCGTACAGCCAAGCGTAGACACGCAAAGCAGTACGCCGCGCAATACTTAGAGCTTTATAATGCAAGTACGCGTTACTTCTTTAATTAGATTGAATTAGATCATTCAGCCTGTGCATACAGTGAGGAGTGAATATGCTTGAAACCGGNGTGGGACAAAATATACAGAGAAGAAAGGGAAGCTATTAAGAGACGCGAGAAACAAGTTTATTATCATGTTCCATCCTTTTCAAGGCCGAAAGATATGAAATAAAAGATTAATACTGCTCATTCATCTGCAACCCTAAATTGCAGTGAAGTTAATGGGCGATGTTCCAGATTCTCGACCCACGTGAGATACGTACCACTCCTGCGATGGTGTGGCACAGCATTAGGAACAACCTGAGGGGCCACGCAGCCTCGAATGCCCTGTGGGTCCAAAACCTATGAGCGCCTACTGTCACCCCGAGATACGCCAGAATTGTTAACAGTAGAGCTATAATATTAATTAGTAAAAGAACATGAATATGTATTATAAAAAAAGAGGAATTCTTGTATAAGTAGATTCTAGGCCAAATTATATACAGTGTATATTTATACTAAATTATGAACTGTTACGCATTTAAGGGATTTAAATTCAAAAGAATGTATCATATTGATATGCAAAAATATACGAAATATCTTGCTACTCATTTGTGGTATGTAAATCATTTTCGTCGAAGGCCAATGTCTTTTCGCTTATTGTAGCCATATTATTTCAAATTCTCAGGGGTATAGTAAATGCCCTAATTTCTGTTTACGTCATAATTTTTATTCACTTATCTTTAACCCATTTGCATTATTAGCGTATATATGCGCTCAATTTTGCGAAAGTTCTGCAAGGGACCGGGCCGAGGTACGTTCCCTCACCACAATAGTACCAAACATTTTGCCCCGTACAGCCAAGCGTAGACACGCAAAGCAGTACGCCGCGCAATACTTAGAGCTTTATAATGCAAGTACGCGTTACTTCTTTAATTAGATTGAATTAGATCATTCAGCCTGTGCATACAGTGAGGAGTGAATATGCTTGAAACCGGTCTGAAGAGAATTCATAGAGTTAGTATAGATAGAGTAGGCAAGCCCGGTAGGTAGGCGTCCGGTGAATAAAAAGAAAGGAAATTGGATTTGGTGGTGCTATCTTTCTCTCACGACGAAACAGAGAAGAAATAATAATACCAATTTCGTTTTTTCTCTCTTTCTATCGATGTGATGTTTCCACTTACACGCGCGCCTATGTCTTGCCTACTCTATCTATACTAACTCTATGAGAGAATTACGTTTGATTTCAGATCGCGAAATGCCAATTTCACTTCATATAAAATTTTTCCGACCACCAACCAATTCACCACCTCAAACTGATTGGAACTTACAATTAGATGTATTAATTGTGTGATGATGGAAGTGAATACTTCCTTATAATGAAATGGGATAACATTTGCATCACAAGCGCATATACATATGTATGTGTGGAACTTTACTGGTCATTATCACGAAAACGCAGATATGCGCGCTAGTTTGAAACAATTAAATACTAGTTACGTACATGAAAATAAAATAAATTTTTCAATTGGAGATTAAATATAATGAAAATCATATTGTAAAAACAAGTTTTAATTTTCGAAACATTTAAAATGATCATTCAATTATTCTTGAAATTTTGCCGATTCGGACCAATTTCGCACTTTTTCGGATGATGCAAATGGGATAAACCAGCGATTAGGAATTGCTACGTAAACAGAAATTGGGGTACTTACTATACACAATGAACTAGAACATTGCTGTTTCTTTGGACTTTGGAATGAAACTTACTGAAGAATACGGTCATCCATTTAGCGCTGGTGAGTGCAAACCAGAAGCCGTATAGTCCGAGAACGTGGAGATGGATGTACCACAAAATAACCGCCCATTGCATCTCCTTGTTTTTCACTGATTTCTTCTCCGACATTTTCCCAACTCTGTGGTGAATAACGAGACCACGCACTTCCCTTTGCTACGACGTAGGAATCTTCTACTCACTTGTTCTCGATCCAGACACGTTTCAAACTTTCAGCTACTCATACTGTATAAATAAAAATCGTGCCAATAGAACTCGTTAGAAATGGAGGTAATGAAAAACGTGAAACGAAAACGTGATTCGTGAATCGAATCTACGCTAGTGAAAATCGTAAACGAGATTCTGTCTAGATTCTGATCTGTTTGAATCGACGATCTATTGCACAGTCACAGGGTTTTGCAATATACAGGATTTAGGTATAATAAGAAGGAAAGGAAACGAATAATCGTATCGCGTTTTGAGAACGTATACCTGGCTGTCCACGTGAGACGATGCAAGCTTCTGAGTGATCCGAAAACAACTACTTAAACTAATGCCGGCCGCGAACCTCTTCGATTAACCCTGTGGCCTCAGTTCGAATTTCATTAATGCCCAACAATTTACACCGTCATTTCCTTCTGTTCCTGCGTTCTCTTGTGTTGCAAACTTAAATTCTATTCATTCTTGATCGAAAAGACGTATTGTTGAACGCCGATGACTGTGACCATTAAACGGCGCTTGATTTTTATGTCGCACTGTTTTTATATTTATTATTAATATTAATAATATTCAAAACTTATTGGTGTACAGTAATAAATTAAAGTGAAATTAAATATAACAAATCATTAGATTATCATATTATATTTCATATATTCATTATATCATATTATTATTAGAAGGTTTTTAAAATCTTTTTAAAAAAGCTACAGATTATAATCGTTTATGCTTAAAA